AGCATCCTCAGGTAGTGTAAATTTAAGTTTGTTCAAATCATGACCCCCGGGGGTTGGGTGGGGCCACAATGGAGGATCAAAGTTTTGCATAGAAATATATAGGAAAAATCTGTAAAAATCTTCTTCTCAAGAACAGCAAAGCCATGATGAGTCATATTTATATGGAAGCATCCTCAGGTAGTGTAGATTCAAGTTTCTTCAAATCATGACCCCCGGGGGTAGGGCGGGGCCACATTGAAGGATCAAAGTTTTGCATAGAAATATATAGGAAAAATCTGTAAAAATCTTCTTCTCAAGAACAGCAAAGCCATGATGAGTCATATTTATATGGAAGCATCCTCAGGTAGTGTAGATTCAAGTTTCTTCAAATCATGACCCCCGGGGGTAGGGCGGGGCCACATTGAAGGATCAAAGTTTTGCATAGAAATATATAGGAAAAATCTGTAAAAATCTTCTTCTCAAGAACAGCAAAGCCATGATGAGTTATATTTATATGGAAGCATCCTCAGGTAGTGTAGATTCAAATTTGTTCAAATGATGACCCCTGGGGGGTTGGGTGGGGCCACAATGGAGGATCAAAGTTTTACATAGCAATATATAGGAAAAATCTTTAAAAATGTTCTTCTCAAGAACAGCAAAGCCATGAAAAGTCATATTTATATGGAAGCATCCTCAGGTAGTGTGGATTCAAATTTGTTCAAATCATGACCCCCGGGGGTAAGGTGGGGCCACAATGGAGGATCAAAGTTTTACATAGAAGTATATAGGAAAAACCTTTAAAAATCTTCTTCTCAAGAACAGCAAAGCCCTGATTGATCATATTTATGTGGAAGCATCCTCAGGTAGTGTAGATTCAAATTTGTTCAAATGATGACCCCTGGGGGGTAGGGTGGGGCAACAATGGAGGATCAAAGTCTTAAATAGAAATATATAGGAAAATATCTTCTTCTGAAGAACTACAAAGCCATGATCATAAGTCATTTTGATAAGGAAGCATCCTCAGGTATAGTGTAAATTCAATTTTGTTCAAAAGATGACCCCCGGGGGTAGGGTGGAGCCCAATGGGGGATTGAAAATTTTACATAGGAACATATAGGAAAATATCTTCTTATCAAGAATTGAAAATCATGTTAAGTCATTTTGATATGGAAGCATCCTCAGGTAGTGTAAATTCAATTTTGTTCAAATGATGACCCCCGGGGCAATGGTGTATCCAGGAATTTTAAAAGGGGGGGGGGGCAGTAGAGGCATTGGGTCTGGGGGCTGCATTGAAGCCCCCAGTTGGTCTAGAGCAAGGCCCTGGTGGGGGTCCGGGAAGCTGATGAATTCTTACAAAGAAGAGATGTTTTTTTCTTGATTTTAGGATAATGGACATATAAGTTCTATATTAAAAAAATTAAAACGGGGGGGGGGGGGGGGGGCGCACACCCGGCTTGCCGGCCCTGGATCCGCCTTTGCAGGGGTAGGGTGGAGCCCAATGGGGGATCGAAAGTTTTACATAAGAACATATAGAAAAAATATTTCTTCTCAAGAACAGAAAAACTATGTTTAGTCATATTGATATGGAAGCATCCTCAGGTAGTGTAGATTCAAGTTTGTTCAAATGATGACCCCTGGGATAGGGAGGAGCCAAAATGGGGGATCAAATTTTTACAAAGGAATATATGGGAATTTTTAAAAAAAATCTTTTCAAGTACAACAAAGCCATTTGTTAAATTGACATGGAAGGTTCCGGTTGTTTAAAATTCAAGCTCCACCCCCCCCCCCCACCCCAAGGTAATCTTTTCAATACTGAACTTATTTGTACTTTTGCCTAACCAATGTGCTCAGGTGAGCAATGTGGCCCATGGGCCTCTTGTTAGGGGTAGGTCGGGACCACTTATGCATTAAACCTTTACAATACTGAACTGATTTTTGCATTTTTCCTAGCCACAGTGCTCAGGTGAGTGATGTGGCCCATGGGCCTCTTGTTTTTTTACCTTGACCTTCCGAATGACTTTGATTTTACTTTTTATTTTGTATTAAACTCAATTTTAAAGAAACTATTCAAGATATTTTCATCAAACTTCAAACACTAATATAAATTTTCATGTTGCATTACTATAATGAATCCTGGGTGGGGCATTCATGTCCTATGGACATATTTCTAGTTTCTACAATGTTTGATCTTGAGCAGCCAACCAGAGAGTAAGGAATTATTCAATCATTTAAAAAAGAATTTTATTGTTTATAGGATTGACTATATAAATTATTTTGATCATCGAGAAATGAATCTAAAAAACGAATTGCACACTCCATGAAAGCCGAAGGCTTTCATAAAAAAGTGTGCGATTCGTTTTATAGATTCATTTCTCGAGGAACAAAATAATTGACTATATAAATTATTATGTTTATCGAGAAATGAATCTAAAAAACGAATCGCACACTTCATGAAAGCCGAAGGCTTTCATAAAAAAGTGTGTGATACGTTTTATAGATTCGTTTCTCGAGGAACAAAATAATTTATATAGTCAATGCTTATAATTCAATTTCAGTGAAAAACATGTTACTTTTCATGTACATAGTACTCATTATTTAGCTAACTCAAAAAATTGTGCATTTTGGAAAATTACATGACTTTCGGGAGCGGATAATTTTCTTTTAAAAGTCATAAAAATTAGGAATTCCTCGTTATGTTATTTTGTCTTTATACCGTAAAGTCGCACCCCCCAAAGTTGGGGTGAAAATCCTGAAAAAAACGCAGGTCCTATGTAAAACGCGCATCCAAAAAACGCATAAATTGGATTTGACTTTAATTTTTCTAGTACAGTAACTTAAGATAAAAGTAGGAAAATTTACGAATCTCAAACGAAAGTAGCAAGTCAGCTTTTTTACTTTACATATTATAAGTGTGCATGTGTGAACATTTAAATTTAATCTTTTTAATAATTATCATACCAGAGGTAATAAAAGAAATACCTGATTATTTTCTTTTCAAATTCATTCCAAGCGTGGTATGTAGTTACGCTTACCAGTATAATGCATAGCAAGCGCGTGTCAGTATTTACGTAAACAAAAATCATACCAAAGCGTTATTTGTGTCAAAATTTTGGCTTTGGGTAATTAAACAGTTCGTGGTATCCATCGATAATTATTTCAGTTAGCTAGTGCAATGAACAATCAGTGCTGTGACAATGATGATGTGCTAAATGAACATTTTAATATTTATGTCTTATGAATCTATTCTTGAATGTGCTTTATTGTATTTTACAAATACATTTTTATATGTGCTTCCGACTAAAATATGTTTTAATAAAGTTCTTAAATAAAAAACATGTTGCTTTTATTGCAGGTGTTGAGATGATAATTGTTAAATAAACAATGATCATGTCCTACGTGTACGTGACAACATAGACTGAAGTTATATATAGCAATGACGCGACAATAGAATCCCTAACGATTTGCACCTCTAATTGCATATCTGAAATTTAAAATATCTGAAAATTAAAATAGAATTAAGGATAATTCAGAATGTACATCACAAAGATTATAGTTGTTGACTATATAGGTATTAATTTATCTATGTCTTAAGCGACATGCAGTTCTTGTATATTGATATAAGCGACGGTAGTTCAAAATGGTGGAATACGCAATGGAAATAAAACAAAAACAAAGATCGTTTTTCATTATGATATCATTTTATTTATGAAACGATTATCCTTTTTTTTCAACAGGTAGGGTAGATGTATATGACTACAACAGGTAGGGCTGACGTACATGTATATGACTGTGAAATTAGAGTAATGGTAATAAACTTTGACGTAATTGGTTACAGAGAGTAATCAATTCAAATGGATCGGGAAAATGGTCCTCGGCACTGAGAAAGTGACCTGGAGAAAAGGGGGTTGTATTTTGTTCCGATGTATAAGCGCATCCCTAGTTTTAAACAATTTTCTGAAGAAAAAAAGTGCGGCCAATACAAGCGACTTTAGGGTAATAATTTACTAAGTTATAGATTACGTAAGTTATGAAAATCTGCACGTGCAATTTTAAAAGCGATACAACATAAAGCAGGCAGGAACTTGCTTTGTTGTCAGTAAGCAAACGGTCAAAGGTGACACTCGAGTGGAGTGCAATGAATAGTAAAAAGAGATATCTTCAGGTTAAAAAAATCTAGAAATAAACTTGCTTGTTGATACACCTTAATACACGTACAACTTGATTGACAGTTAACATGGTTAATACCCTGTATAAAGTTTATGTACAGACGTGAGAATGTGAGAATAACACTCACATCAGGAAAACTTATTATTTAATCCTTATAACCTACATAATATTTTTTTTTCTAGTTTGGTTTTCAATTTGTACTAAATTCAATGTAAATTGTTACATGTTACAAATAATAAAAAAAATGCAAAACACGTGCTTCTTTACAGAGTTATATCCCTTGCCATCCCCGGCATTACCCATTGACAACAATTATCTCGGTTAATAATTTATTTGATTCAGAACATTTTTCTTTTCTCTACTCAACAAGAATTTTTATTGTATAATTTAAAAATAGAAACACATGATTAAAATATTTCCTTTAAAGCACACGGAGAAACAAAAGATTTACAGAAGCTGAATTTAAATCATGAAAAGAACAAAATCATTCGTATGAGAGAGTATTAGTTTATAACACAGTTGCCTTGCTATAATTATTGGAAAGAATTACACACAAACAATCAACGTATCAAAACGTACAGTGAAAAGTAGTTCGGTTGCAGAAGTTGACATTACATTCATCAGAAAATGAACAGAAAAATTTCTCCATAGAAATGCATTAGTTCAAAGTGATGAAACTTAGGAAAATTGAATTATTAAATAATGAACACATGTATACAGATACAAGATATAATTCTGTCAGTACTAGAATGTTTGATGTCAATCCCCAATTGTAATAAAAAAAAGAATATAATTACTCTATGATGTGTTTAAAATGAAATTATTTACTAAATAACAAATATCCTCTTTTACAGTGACTGATGATGACTCACCATTGAAGACATTTATCAGGATAAACGCTGCAGATTTGAAACCAGACCCAAGCAATGCAGTTGACATCTCCGATACAAATGTAAAAGAAGACAATTTGGAACTAGGAAATACTGATAAAGACACTAAAGTAATTTATAGCAGAGAAGAAAAGAAAGACGAAAATGTGGAGTTGTCTAGTCCACCAAGTAAACGCAGAAAAGAAGAGAATACAGTAGAGGTCTCTTCAGAAGCTCCAGCTATGGTGAAAGATGAAATTTTTCAGAAAATCTTGTCTGAAAAAGAGAAGTTACCAACAGTAAGCATGCTGGATTTTGCTGGTCAGTTAGCATATTATGCCTGCCACCAAATTTATGTAACACCAAAGGCCTTCTTCATCCTTGTCTTGGACATGACTAAGAGGTTTGAAGATGTTGTCGATAGGGAGAAAGATAATCAAGAAGGATCAGTCTTCTCCACTTGGACGTACAAAGGTAAGAAGCATGTGAGATGTTGTCAGACTTTTTTAGGGCAACTGAGTCACTCAGGTGACCTATTGCTTTCTGTTGTATGTCCTCGTGCGTGTGTGTGGGCGTGCATGTGTGAGTCCTGCATAAACCTTTCACATTTCAACATCTTCTCAAAAACCACTTGACCGATTCCAATCAAATTTGCCACAAAGCATCCTTGGGTGAAGGGGATTCAACTTTGTTCAAATGAAGAGCAGTGTCCCCTTCCAAGGGGAGATAATCAAGAAAAGGCAAAATAGGGTGGGATCATTTAACCCTGGTAGTGCTGAACCCGGAATATTCCGGTAAACAAAGCCATCTGCTGTGAGCTGACCCTGGAATATTCCAGGTGACAACAACGATATTTTTAAATCGCTATTTTAGTCTGCCATTGGAAATTTTGTCTAATAAAAGCTTTTTCCTTATTTGGAATTAGGTCTGAATGAATAAAAAATTCCATTACTTAGATGAAAGGTGATTGTTTGTGTAAATAAATGGCAGCGTATTCAAGAAAACATTTTTCAATATGCTAGTAAACTTGTTTATAAACTAAAACCGCGGTAAAAAAAACTTGATGACTATTTACTAGAAGATGTCTTTGACATTTTCTATGAAGAAGATAATGCTAAACATGTTTTGATTGTGAAATTTGCTAGACGACGATCAATCCATGCCAAGGTTGGATTCACGGGTGTAGACTTCAATATATCCGAGTTAAAACGATCCTAAGTATTATTTTTTCTATAAAATTTAACAGAAAAAAAGACAATCGTATCATGACTAATGAAAACAATAGTTTGAAGAAGCCAGAGTAAGAAAGAAATACGGCAAATGTCGAGATTCCACATCAAGGTAAAAACAACAATGGCGTACACAATTTTTTTACAAAGGTATTTTTTACGATATGACTACACAAATGTTGAAAAGTTGTACCAAAACAATGTCCCTGTATTAAAAATTATCTGTATTACCATCAATAAGCGTATTAGTGAATAAAAGTTTAGTCTCATGAAGAAAAAATTGTGATTTTCGTAATATATTCTTTACCTGTGAATTACCAATTTGTTTATGCAAAGAATGAAAACTGACCATCAAAATATTGAAGTCCTATCTCTACTGAACATTTTGATATATAATATGTCTATGTTTTTTCAATAAATCCTGAATTAAATTGTTTCAACCAATGCACCTCAACGCAGGCAAAAATATTCAGCTCACAGCACTTACACTGTGTATTTTATGTAGCGCTACAAGGGTTAAAAATCTTCTTCTCTAGAATCACTGAGCTAAAAGAGATGAAATTAATATGAAAGCTTCCTAACATAGTGTAGATTCAAGTTTGTTCAATTCATGATCTTGAGGGGTATGATAGTCCAGAAAAGGGGGTCCAGTGTTTATTAGATCACGGATACTAATTGCAGGAAACTTATCATAAAAGAAAATTTAACATGAAAACATGCATTGATTTACCTGAATAATATGTAAGCATCATTATACATTTTTTGACATAGTTAGGGCCCCACTCTGCGGGCGCCCTATAGTGATCAGTCTGTCCGTCCGTCCGTCCTTCCGTCCATCCATCCGTCTGTCCATCTGAGATCTCTTGTCCGGAGCATATCTTCTCTCTCCTTGGCCCAATCTGGCTCATACTTCATTCACAGTGTCTTTGGGTAAAGGGTTTGCAGTGATTTTGAACCATGTTTCTAGGTCGAAGGTTAAGGTCATAGCAGAATTGTATGAAAAATCCTTGTCCGGAGCATATCTTCTCTCCTCTTGGTCCACTGTGGCTCATACTTCACTCACAGAGTGCCACTGGTCAATGGATGTGCAGTGACCTTGAACGAAGTTTCTAGGTCAAGGGTCAAGGTCAAAAATAGCCTCTCTGTTTAAAATCTTTGTTCGGTGCATAATTTCTATCCCTTAAGTCCAGTCAGCCTCAAACTTTACCAATTGACTTAGGGTACGGAACATTTGTGATTTTCCTTCCATATTTTGATAGAGGATATGCAACAATTTTCATAGAGGATATGCAACATTCGTGATTTTTTGTGCCGTTTTTTGATAGAGGGTATGGAGCACTAGTGATTTTCGTGCCATTTCTTATTATAACAAGGATGACTTAGAAGCCCTTTAGACTCAAACAACACATCCCTTAATAGTACACAAATGTTCCTTTTCAAAATAAACCCTTTTCAGCTACCTTACATTTTCATGTTCGTTGCTGAAAGCGGGGCCCTTTGAGATGGCCACCATCTCAGTGATATCTAGTTATATGATTATTCTAGAACAAAGATTTACATTTTACTTGTGATAGGGTTTGACAGAAGCTAGGGTTCGACATTTCTAGTGGTGAGAATGAGGCTCTACCTGGAAGCGTATTTACAAAACTGTACTGTCACTTTGGAGTTTTGTTTCATTGCAATTGTTTTATATAGATTTCATTTCCAACAGTATTGGTCAAGGTAAATGAGATGTAATCTTTGAGGGAGTGTTCGGCCATAGTATAATGATTTAATTGGCACCGTGAAAATTTCAAGAAAATAACCTTATTTAAACAGAAATGTCTCCATCTTGTTCAGCCACTGTCACCATTGAATGTTTGTAAGTTGGCAATAAGACGTCTATGTTATGGATTTCACTGATATTATGTCTTACTTTTTCTGGTAGAATAAATATTCTGATGATTTGTTCTTTTACATTTCTGATATCAACGAAAAAATGGTACTTGTATGGTTGTTGAAAATATGATATGACCACTTGCTATTTAAGGCCATGATAAAAAAAATTCCTAGATTCTCACCCCTGCCTGCCCTGATTTTTTACCCCGCCTGGCTTTTTTTAAAATTTCTGTTTTTCGTCTTTATTCCAATCGGGATCAGTATTCAACTTACCATTCAACTTTTGTTTTATATCCCGCGAATGTCAGCGTGATTTTGACAGCTGACAAGATGGTAATTTCTGTAAATATGTATTAAACAAGGATCATTGGTTGATTAATGAGGATGTGTAATAAGAGATATGTGAACTTAAATGGACCTCTACTATGACTTTATTCCGGAATAATCGATAAATTTGCACCGATTGATCAGGTCAACAGAAAGTCTGTACAATGTAAAAAATTAAATTTATAGAAAAAAATCCACCCGCCCGCCTCGATTTTTAAAAAGATTTGGATGAGAATTAGATTTTTTTTTTGTAGAGCCTGAGCGATGATTTGTAGTAAATAAAATGCCCTCACTTTATTCCTTTCCTTTGACTCATATTTAATACAGAAGCACTGTTGTGAGGTTTATTCGAGGTGAAATGAGTTGACATGCAGTAAAAAATATATTAATTAAAAAACTAAGTGATCAGATAAAAATTGTTTGTGTTTACTTTCTTGAAAAAAAAAGGCCAGGTAAACATGAAAGATCCAATTTTCAATCAGTTAGAGTAATAAGTCAAATGGGGTATTTCACACTGGTGGCTTAAAGCTGACATGAATTCTTAAAAACGCAATATTTTCATCTATGTACGACTTGTTTCATGCCAACTATCCGTATTCTGCCATATTTCTTTCAGATGCCTTGTCTGATTGTAACGATATATACCCCAATGCGCTCGTTACACTTGAGTGAATTTTTGCTTTGGCTATCGACTTGTGCACATCTCCGATTGTACAGTATTTGGGAACACATGAATTGATCAAAACTTGTCAAAGCATAACTGCTGATACAAACAGTCATAATGATATTTATGAATAATTATTGTTTTGAATCATAAATGTATAAAAATGAAAGTTTGGAAGAAAAACAGAGTTACGCGTGTATTTTAAAGTATATGTGCAGAATAAACTTGAAACTTGAAATAATAAGCAGTAAAACTCGTAAAAAACAATTTCAAATTATCTTTCATTAGAATGGAACAAACAACCAGCGTCTTTGTTATGTATGTTCATATGCAATTGATGCATATCGAGAAAACGCGTCGAATGCTGTAAACTGGAAATAAGACACTGGACCGGTTGGAAGATGTGCACATGCCAAGTGATTTACACCTTGTTTACACCTTGTATTCCATTTATTGAAATATGCATCACAAAAAAGTAATAAACTCCTTAAAAACTCAACAGTAAACACATTGTCACTGCTTCGTACAGCCTAACACATAAATACAGTCCGTGCTGATCAGATTTTGGTAAGGGAAAATATCAGAAGTGAAAAGAGAATTACTATTTGTGGACCTGGGAGAAAAAATAAATGACTAAAATATTCTGATTGCTGTTCATGAAGTATAACTGGAAATTGTCTAGTTCTAATAAACATATATACATTCTGTGGGTGTATTACATTGCATGATTTATTTATCAATTTTTAATTCAAGGTTATTTTCCTAATTATCTAAACTGAGTAATTTGGTCTACCAAAATGGGGGGGAGGGGGGGGGAGAAATAATTGAGGGTAGGACTACTCGAAACCCTCCCCGCAAGATTATGGATAATTATTTATTTACTTTTTTGAACAATGAATACTCTCTCTCTCTCTCTCTCGTGTAACCATCCATTAGAGCAATAATGGGTATAAAATCCTATGTTCTGTACATGCACGTTAAAAATCATGGAATCAAAATGCTATTATACTCTTTATAAGGGCAGATCAAGGAATTTTTTTCAGGAGGGAGTGTCGAAACTCGCTCAGAAAATCATCTCATAATTGTTTTGACAGAAAAAAAAACAGAAAAAAAAATAAACAAACAACACACCCAAATGGAACGGGAACTAAACGTGAAAACTACTTCATGGGAATGGGAACATGTGGACCCTTCTCACATTCTTTCCCAGGGGGATCAATGTCAGTTTCATATTAATTTATAGCTATAGAAATCTGAGTAACCCAGAGGGATCCGGACAAGAAATTTTTTAGACAAAGGGGGGGGGGGGGGATTAAATGAAAAGAACTTTTTTTGGAGTGGGAAATGGACTCTTCTTGCGGACACTTTGCTCTCCC